TCACAGAATTCTTACACCCTCTCACTGGGTCCACGCAATAAAGTAAAATGAGAAATGCTAAAGGAACATAAGAACTGCCATAAGAGTTCGCACAATTACCAAACGGGGGCGCCAATTGGAAATTGTATCAAATGTTATGTCAACCCTTATGTTTTTCTAGCATTTTTCAAGTAAAAAAATGAAATTTTCTGAAAGTGCAGAAAAATTTTTAGCAGAAATTCCACATATACTCACATGGGGTTAAATATTGTTTTAAAAAAATGGGACCCACCCCATGTGTGTTTTCTGTATGATTTCTAGATTTTTTTTTTGCTGTACATATAGTGCTTCTCTAAAAAAAATTACCCACCCACCCCCTTGTGAGTGTCTGTCTGTAAGCGTTCTATTTTACTTTCTCTCTTACGACTAATGCTCTATTGACAGGGGAGAGCTGTGCATGTCCTTGCACATGCGAGAGCTGATTGCAATGTGCGATAGAGTTATCATTTCATTATTGATAAGAAAAGAAGGTTACTTGAAGGAATCTTCATAGCCATTATTTATAAAATTACGTTTCTTGTTCATCAATGGTTGATATCAAGTTTCACATCCTTTATGTGTGAGACATATTATCATTGATAGAAAAAATGTCAACAATTGATGTATAAGAAACATAATTCCTACTACAATAATGCTACTTTTGTGGTTAGGGTAAAGAGAAATGAATTACGCTACTTTTACCCCCCTTTTTAAATAGATTGATTTAAAGGTGCTGAGTTATCAATATTTACAGGCTGGTTGAACCTAAAAAATAAAGTTAACGGCTTGTGAATATTGCCGTCTTAGCATTTGTAAACCAATATGTTAAATAAATTTATACAAGTAGCATTTTTGAAGAGAAATTGGTGTGTACTGTTGTAGGCACCCAAAAGTAATACCTTCACTTCTAAAACTAATGTAGTAGTGGAAGTAATGGTCGATCCCACAAAGAATATGTAACTCAATACATTATGCTTCGTACAATGATTGGGGAATTTTTGTATGTAAACAATTATAAATAACGCAATTAATAACAATAAAAATTAAATTAATGAAAACAATCAAAAGACTAACCTTGGTCCAACTCAATATCCACCGTCGGAGCTTTATAATTGATCATCGATGCAAGTATAAATCAACCGATATTTTGAATATTCACCATTGGAATGAATTCCTATTTCTCCTTGATTTTAGTTAGTTAGAAACCAAT